TGTTGACTGGAAGGGTGAATTTCGTCCAAGCACTTTTAAATGTGAACTGGAAACTGTTAAAAAAAAAACCAGATGGGTGATTTTTTTGTAATCCATACAATTGAACTGTGAACTATGAATTGTTAACTGGAAACTGTTGACTGGAGAGGTGTGATTTTTCCCTTACGCCTCCTTGACAGTCAAACATACTCTGCCTTGGCCTCAACTTGATGATAAACTGCACACACACACATACACACACACACACACACACACACACACACACACACACACACACACACACACACCACTGAATCTGTGGTGTATGGAGAGAAAAACCTTTTTGATTATATTATTTATTGATTGATTGGGTGTCTGTCTGTCTGTCTGTCTGTCTGTCTATCTGCAGACAGAGACAAGGCCAATAATGTGTCTGTCTATATTTCTACACTGTTTCTGTCAATATTTGTTGTTTTAACGTGTTTGCTGTGTGTGTGTGTGTGTGTGTGTGTGTGTGTGTGTGTGTGTGTGTGTGTGTGTGTGTGTGTGTGTGTGAGAGAAGGATCATCAGTGTACAGTTAAGATCACAATTCCCTGGACGTCTTGGTCGTATCTATAACCAAATATGACTAAATGTTCAGGGAATTTCGTCCGCAAGTGTACATGTGCGTGTATGTGTGTGTGTGTGTGTGAACGTCCAGAAGAAAAAAACAAAACACGTCCATGAGCGTTTATTACAATGTGTGTGTACATACATACATACATGAACCTAACCAGCGTGTGAGTGTGTACAAGGATGTGTTTCTACAGTTACATAATCATGCAGTGACTATATGTGTACGTGTGTGTATATATTTTTTGTTGCTTCTGCCTGTGTATGTGTGTGTAAGTATACATGTGTATGTGTGTATATTCTCTGCCATCATACATTGTATATTGAGGTGAAATATCAATAAAAATAACATCTGTCTCTTTCTGTAATTTGAAATTTGTTTGTTTGTTTGTTTGTTTGTTTGTATACAGTAAGGAGGGTTGGGGTGAGGAGGGGGTGACATCGTGTGGGGTGACATCGTGTGGGGTGACATCGTGTGGGGTGACATCGTGTGGGGTGAAATGGAAGTGTAAAATGTATCTGTCTGTCTGTCTGTCTGTCTGTCTGTCTGTCTGTCTGTCTAATCGCCCTGTCTGCCAGTCACATATCTTGACGTGTGTAGGGAGGGACAGACACCAAGGCACAAATGTCAGTACAGGGGAAACCGAGACAAATTTAATCAGATGACGTATAGCATTATCTTGTGCCCTAATCTCATAACGTTGTAAATCTTGAGAAAATGTCTGGAATCACCGCCATTACTTGCTGACAGGAACACTATCACGAACACCCTCCCCCCCACCACCTCCCCCAAAAATGACTTGTGTGTACTTTCTTTTGCCACACCCTGTACTTTCTTTTGCCACACCCTGACTTTCTTTTGCCACACCCTTACGTGATGTAAAACCCTACTTTTGACACTCTCCTCCATCTTCACATGGTACCTCCTCCATCACACCTATGGCCTCCTGCAACCTCACACATGGCCTCTTCCACCCCACATGGCCCCCTGCCCTACACATAACCTCCAACAAACATGGCCTCCTCCATCCCACATATGGCCTCATCCACCCCACATATGGCTCCTCCACCCCCCACATGGCCTCCTCCACCCCACATATAGCCCCCCTGCACCCCACATAACCTCCACCAAACACATGGCCTCCTCCATCCCCCACTTATGCCCTCCTCCCACCCCCAGCCTCTTCCACCCCACCTGGCCTCCTCCCACCCCCATGGCCTCTTCCACCCACACATGGCCTCTCCTCCACCCCCACATGGCCTCCTCCACCCCCGGCCTCCTCCCCACACCCCACATGGCCTCCTTCACCCCACATGGCCTCCTCCACCCACACACTGGCCTCCTCCACCCACCATGCCTCCTCCCCACCCACATAGCCTCCTCCACCCCCACATAGCCTCCTCCCACCCCACACACAGCCTCCTCCACCCCCACATGCCCTCCTCCCACCCACACACATGGCCTCCTCCACCCCACGCATGCCCTCCTCCCACCCCACACACACATGCAGCCTCCTACCCAGACACATAGCTCTCCACCCCCATATGCCCTCCTGCACCCCACACATGCCCTCCTCCCCCACAAATGGCCTCCTCCACCCCCACATGGCCTCATCCACCCCACACATGGCCCTCCTCCACCCCTCACATGGCCACCGTGTTAAGGTCCACCACACATCACCTCCCAGTCGTTTTTTCGCCTTAAGATTAGTGATTAATGAGACTCAAAACCCATTAAAAATTCCCCATTAATTAATAGAACCTTTAATATTATAGACTCCAAATATTGCCTAAAAGTTTGTTATTATGATGGTTTATGGTTTATTGGTTTATTGGTACGTGTTTTGGGAAGGTTTATTGTGGTTTATGGTATTAGTTTTGGTTTATTGGTTAATGATTCATGTTTTGGAAGGTTTAATATGATGGTTTATGGTTTATTGGTTTATGATTCGTGTTCTTGAAGGTTTATTGTGGTTTATGGTTTAGGGTTTTGGTTTGTTGATTCATGACGAGTGTTTTTGAAGGTTTATTGTGGTTTATGGTGTTACGTTTGGTTTACTGACTCACTGATACTGACTCACTGACTCTCAAATCACACTACAGTTCGTTTTTAAAATATATGTGTGTGTGTGTGTGTGTGTGTGTGTGTGTGTGTGTGTGTGTGTGTGTGTGTGTGTGTGTGTGTGTGTGTGTGTGTGTGTTATATAGATGTAATGTGGGTGTGCTGAAGGCAGTATGGGGTGATGGTGATAGGATGGGCATGGTGGGCGTGATGGTAATAATGGGCATAATATGGGCATGTTAGTGAAGGTATTGGTAATATGGTGCATAGTATGGGCGTGGTGGTGTAGCGGTATGGGCATAGTGTGGGCGTGGTGGTGAGTGGTGGTGGTGGTGGTGGTAGCATTATGGGCATGTGGGCGTGGTGGTGGTAGCAATGATAGTGTGGGCGTGGTGGTGGTAGCATTATGGGTGTAGTGTGGGCGTGGTGGTAGCAGTATGGGCGTAGTGTGGGCGTGGTGTGGGTCAGGTTGTATCTCCATGATTGTTCTTTCTCTAACATGCAAATAACGCTGTACATAAGAGACTCATACGTTACTATGGGTTAATAGGAGTAATACAATAAAGTTTACTATTTAATAATGTCTTTCTCTCATCCTAATACATACATATATACATACATACATACATACATACATACATATATACATACATACATACATACATACATACATACATACATACATATATACATACATACATACATACATACATACATACATACATATATACAATACATACATATATACATACATACATATATACATACCATACATACATATATACAAACATACATATACATACATACATACACATACATACATATAAACATATACATATATACACAGTGTATATATGTGTAACTTTATCAATATTATTATACTTGAAGTCACACCTTATACTAGTAACACCTCAGCTCAAGTAACACCTCAGATTCAAGTAACACCTCAAACTCAAGTAACACCTCAGACTCAAGTAACACCTCAGAATCAAGTAACACCTCAGAATCAAGTAACACCTCAGACTCAAATAACACCTCAGACTCAAGTAACACCTCACACTCCAGTAACACCTCAGACTCAAGTAACACCTCAGACTCAGTAACACCTCAGACTCAAGTAACACCTCACACTCCAAGTAACACCTTATACTTACGAACATAACCAATAACACTAAGAATGTTTACATATTTCTAAAGTAAA